TATTTACACATTTTTTATAATAGCATTAAGTGATCTAATATTAATGAATTTCATAATGTTTTTAAAAACTATGTGTCTTAGTAATTCAATTATTCATATTTCATGATTACCTATTATGAAATATGATTAATTTCATGCTCACTTAATATTACATATATCTTTTTGTCAAGATTGTTTTATTAAATTTTATTAGCTTACCAAATTGAAATACCCAGAGCTTTTAAATTTCAAAGTTTGGTCGAGTCATGGGATATTTAATAATTTTAAAAATGTTTTGCCACTTAGTTTTACTCTTTAGCATCAAGAAGGAAATGAGATGAGTTGTCTTATTTCAATGTCTGTGTTCAAACATGTGCTTGTGTATTGTTTTCTTAGAGTATGCTGTTTATAGATGCTTTATTAAGTGAAGTTAATGACCATCAATTAAGATTTTGATGAGTCATTTTAAAAATCACAATTAAAAATGTTTCTTGAATAAATTTCATTAAATATGACTTACATGTATATTTGCATTTTGAAATTTATTTTATTTGAAAAGTATTATTGTGTATGATATATATTATTCTGGTACTTATAATTTTGGAATTCAGTGTGCAGAAAGATAAATATTTTTAATTCTGCATTATTAAAAGTGGAAGGATAAATTGTTTTTAGAAAAGAAAAATAATTTGTTAATTAATTATTCTATTAATTTTCAAATGCAGTTTTCGGTGTTGTTATTATTAACCTAACTGATAATTACATAATATTTTATGTATATTTGAAATTCATTAATTTTCATGTTTATAGATGGAACTTTAAAAAGTGGAAATCTCTGCATATTTTTTGATTTGATTTCAGTTTTTTTGGCATCAGTGAATTAGATTTTTTGGATTAAGGAAAAACATGCAAGGGCTTAAGCAGAAAGATGCCTTCGTGAAGGATGTTTTGAATCGTATTTTGAACTTTATGTGACAGCTGTTGTTTTACAGATTAAAAAATTTAAATCAATATATATGTTAATTTAAACTTAAAAAGAAATCTCACTTTTTCCTTATTAAATAAAATTGCAAATTGATTTAAAAGACTTATCTAACTTTTCTCCATTTGATAAAGTCATGTGTTTGGCAGATATACTTATGTAATTGCACTATATATATATATATTTAAAAAATCTATCATATGATGCAGAGTTACCATTTGAATTTTGTATCAGTCATAGTGACAGTTTAACATACCGAATATTAATATTTATGTATAGTCACATTAATTCAAATTATTTTGCTTTTTGTTTTACATTAGCACCGTCTTAAGGAAATATATTTAAATCCATAATTTGGAACTGTTACATATAAAGTTAGTTTTTGCGTTATATATTTTATAGTATGTACTTTTTTATATTAAACCGTTAGCAAGTGCATTTGAATTAATTCGAGATCCAGATGCTAGCAAGAAAGTCTAGAATTAATTTGAATTTATAACAAACCCTGTCAGAAATTGACAGTCTAGTGTTTACTTGAGCAGTGTTTCATTTCATGAAACCATAATGTACTTAGTTAAATAAACACAGGTAAGGAAAAATAATCTCAAAAGAAAAAAAAAATGTCTTAAGAAAGAATTACTACTTAGTATTTATGTAATCTGACTAAATTTTAAATGGAATTTTTTAAAATTTTCATAAGCTTTTAAGTATTTGATTATCAAAAATTTTTATTGATTATTTGAAATATAATTTTTAAATTTTTGTCCATTGAAAGATTATAGTTAATGTATATGATTTTGAGATAAAAAAATATCTTTTTTATTTTTACTTTGTTTTAACCCCACTCCCAATGCATTCAGGGGATCCAAAAAATATCTGATAAAAATGTAAAAGTAGGTAAAGACTGAGATAAGGAGATCTTGTAAAAGAATGTCTCTGCAGAAATGGTACGTTGAGGTGCTACAGGGCACTGTTAAGCAGTAAGTAAAAGCATTCTGCTAGCGTAAGTCGTCATTTCTCGTGCAACTTTCGAGTGGTATGCATTTTCTGTGGGTCTGAGGCTAAAATAATCAATAATAATAAATAATCCAAACATAGCCCTACAGTTAAAATCCATATCATTCGAAATTTTGTTCGAGGAATAAGGATTTACGCTTTTATCTGCTGCTCATGAGCAACCTATACCACTTTAGCACATGATTTCTATACATGCATTCCATTACAAAATCTGCTTATTACGATTCCGTTTTTAAGATTTTACATTTTTGCCAGGTATTTTTGGATCACTGTGTATAAGTGTCATTCAAAAATATATTCAGAAGCAGATTTTTTATTGATTAAACAAAATTGGGGAGAGGATTGACTAAAAAGGGAAGCACTTGTTAATAATTAAACTATAAGGCTTTTTTTTTTTTTTTTTTTCCGTTTTTTAGAAGATTTACATTCATTTGAGCATTTCATATTAGACAGAATAGTGTTTTTCTTTATTGTTTTATCTTTTTTGCTTTGTGTTGAATTAAATTTTAAATGTCAAAATGTTTAACTAGAATTAGATATTATTGTTTGGTTGGTTTTAATATTTTAATAAGAAAAGTAAAGCATTATTAATTTTTAATGTGTTCCTTTTTTATCACTGAAAGAAAATTCGTCTATATTAGTTAAAACTATCTTTGGAATTTTGAAGTGTTTTAAAATTATATTTACATTTTTCTACTGAATAGTTAAAAATGTTTTCTTGAATATTAATAAGGAATCTTTCTGCACATGAAATTCAATGATACTCAGTTAAGATCTAGTCATTTTTATTAGAATTCTTAGTCATTAATGTACTTGTGATTTATTTTCACTTTTTTCTCTCTTGGAAAAAATGTGATTTTTATATCTGTAACTGTTATGGAGTTCTGATCTGTGAAGTACATTTGTAAGAAAACTATATATTTGGAGACTTCATGAAAGATGCTTCACAGTCAAAATAAATTGTTTTTATTTACTGCAAAATTTGAGTGTTTCTCTTTATCATAGAGTAATTTGTATGCAAAACAAATCAGTATGTGTGAAATGTCATTTCTTTACTCGAATCATTGAAATTAAGAGAAAATTAACAGATGCAGTTAGTGGCATGGCTAGACGGGGGGTAGTCAAAGGAGGTGAAGAATATTTAGATTCTAATATGCTATACAAAATTAAACAGAAGTAAACGAGTTTTTAACTCTAGATACAGTATTAAAAAAAATCACCACGTAATTACAACTGCCACATATTTTTGTTATGCCTTTTTTATTTGGTCTAAACTTTTAAATTCAAATTACGAATGTCAACTAAAATTATGATCACGATGACATTCATAATGAAGAATTCTTTGTTAAGTATTTTAAAAGAAGTATTTTAGAGTTTTATTTCCATTATTGCCAGGGAAATAAAAACAGGAACTTCGAAGGGCAGTACTTTTTGAATTTTTACACTTTATTCTAAAATACACTGTGTAGAACAAAGTTCCAAATATTGCAATGCTGATGCAAACTTTCCTTTCAATTGTTATAAAGTGTTGCTAGTTGGGAGAAGTATTTTCTAAATAAAAATCATTTAAGAACTATAAATGAAAAATTTGCATTTTAAAAATTCTTTCTTTGCTGTCTAACAGCAAGTGGAATAAGGGAAGTAAAAAAAGTAAAAGGAAAGAAAAAAATGCTTTGGGACCTCTCACCACCCTTCCTCGTCCCCCATGCATTTTGTTTTTAAGTCAGTTCCCCCTTCCCAGTTCTATGGTGATAATAAATCAAACCAAAGAACTTGCAGCTTGCGTGCCATATATTGGATACCCAAACAGAGAAATAAATTAAATTCATACTCCTGATTATAATATTGCTAAGAACTAAGCGATGGAAATGACTTTAAAATCAAAGCAACGGCATTTTTATAAATAACAACAAAAGTTAATTTAACAGTGAAAAAACAAGGCTTTCTTAAGTAATCAGAATCTGAAACAGATCCACCGCACAGAACGGAAAACTCACTGAAAAGCATTCCTCAATTAAAATGTTCACTATTAAGCAAAAACACAATGAATTAAAAAATTAATTTCCAACTAAAAAAGTTGAATACAAAAAAAGCTAACAGTCTAAATGTGAAGAATCTCAAAAATGGATATCTGCGTAATTTAAAAATTGAAACTAAATTAAATGAGAATTAATTAAAAAAGAAATATATTTTTAAATAATTGAAAATGAGCAATGTAGTTTTAAATTTTTTGTTAAAGCTAAGATATATAATTAAAAAGACTAAGAATTGAATATAGTCTGTAACTTACAGAAACAGTAGACGGTAAATTTCATGAACCTTATAAGAGATAGACTAATCCAGCGGGCAGGGCGCGCGTCATCCACATGTCGGAAAGAAGAGTAGGGGCGATTTAGTTTATCGTAACATTGAAACCTATGGCGTTTGTATCACATAACTGTTTTTAAAAGTGATACGTTGTATAAGTGATGATATAATGAAAATCACAGTTTTTGCTAATAAGATTTTATATATCTCATGAAACCACTTTTTAGTGCATTTTAAGCATTTTTTTTTTTTTTTTTTTTTTTTTTTTTTTTTACTGCATTTTGAGCATAAGCGTAATTCTTGTATAAACATCACTAGTTTGATAAAACGGTAAAAACTCTAAACACAAAATTTATGAATTTACTTTTGCCTACAAATAAAGTAAGATTGATAGTACATGATGCTATGATACATATAAGGTAAAGTTAAAAAAGATTTTATAAACATTTTCAGGCAGTAGTTGCAAATATTTATCATTTCACATATGTATAGAAACTACGGTTTGTTTTATTTATTTTTCTGTTTTTTAAATTATTATAGTATTACAAGATGATCATTTATGACAATATTAATAATTCATGAAATTTTGGAGCATAAACTTTTCTGAGTGTAATGAAAAATTTTTTAAAAAAAAAAAAAAAATTCACAGTAAATAAAAAAATCTTTTGCAGAACTAGAAATAAATTTAAAAATAATTACTATAAAATACCAGATATTATATGTGCAATCTTAAATTTTATTAATGCGTCTAAAGTAACCTTGTAATTTTATATACATGTAAATACTTTTAATAAATTCTGTATCTTGGTCCTCCTTTTTCAAATGCATCTTCTGAAAAATGTTTTGAACATAGCTTCGAATACTTTGTAGGCGTAAATTTTTTTCTTCTTACAGCTTTAATCCATTAAGAGCGCAATTTGGGATTATTAGGAAATCTAGGGACAACAGAAAAGAGAATTGATTATATACTTTTCGTTCTTAAATATTCTTATTTTTGATCAGTTATAATGCTAGGAATTAAAATTTGCCTATAATTTAAAAAAGCAGCAGAACAATTATAAATTTTATAGAAAAACATTCAAAAATTTATTTTTAGGCATTTTAGTATTTTTTACTTATTAACACCAATAAAAAGCATAAAAATTGTAAGAGAAAATTACTTGTTTGAATTTTTCTGTTAGTTCAGATTTGAAATATTATTTTCTAAAAGAAGAAATTACAAATTCACTTACAGAATAGGAAAAGCTAAAAATATATACAGGCCTGAAAGCATGCAACAGCGTTATAATTATTTAGAACTTTAATTATGTTTAATAAACATGCTAAATATTTAAAAAGCAATCTCAGTTTCAAAAATAAAAATATTAAAAAATTCTTACTTGTGAAATGAGGCATTACCACCAGCTTTTTCTTGACAATTATACGCGCTGCAATAGCCAACCATTGCTAATTTCTGCAAGTCGTCCCTACTCCTCCGGATGTGGTCAAGGTGACAGCCGGGGATGCGTCAGACGAGAGAGAAAACCTATTTGGGTTAGTCTATTTCTTATAAGGTCCACCGAAAACTTGTGATGACGTCAGAGGTCATATGAGCCTGCGCAACTATGACGTCACAAAAAGCACGTGATCTCTGACGTTATTTGAGAATTTTTTAGTCTTCTTTTGTTACTTTAGTTGAAAATTTTCTGGCAACACTGCCTGCCATCATGGTGTGGGAAGCTATTGGGTATAATTTTCGATCTCATCTAGTGCAGATTGCAGTCAATCTCATTAGTGACTGTTACATAAGGGAAGTTGTGGAGCCAGAGGTCCTCCCCATTCCAGGCGCTGTATTTCAGCAGGATAATGTCTGTGTACATGTTTCTCAGACTGCACAAGACTTTAGAGTACAGCAGATTTCGCTTCTTTATGGCTTCGGATATGATTGGTCAACGACTCGTTCAAACAGCTGATGAGGCACACACTAACACTGAACTCTGGCGTCAATTCGAAAACGCCATCTCCAGAATTACATTCAGAATTTGTATGATTTAATGCTACGACGTGTACAGCCTCTCATCGCTCTGCGTTGCGGACACACAAAGCACTGATTTTCCGATGCTCGTTTTTGTCTTGTAAATATGATCATTTATTTGTACCACTATCAGTAATATGTGAAATAAATCTCATTCATGTCCGACAATTCCTTCATGGTGTTGCGTTTTTCACAAACATTAGTGTATTTAATTAGATGTTGGAAGAGGTCTAGTTTACAACCATACAAAGGCATCCCTATAAGCTGTGCTGAACGGAGTCTAGTTGATCTATTCTAGTTGTTCTCATCCTGTTTTGCTCTGATTCATCATTGCTAGAAGTCGTCCCCCGTCCTACCCAAAACTAGTGTATACGAGTCAGTTTCCCTTAGAAAGTCCTCCACGAAGGCATCCCTCCCCTTGGGCAGATAGCCGTAATCACACACACACACCTACCCAAAACTCAAAAAATACATATACATGTTATTTAGATTTAGATCGTTTTTTAACTTGTTTTATAAATTATACAACAAAGAGTATAGAAAATGTTGATAAATACCAAAACTTGAATAAAAGTAATTTTGAATATCCATAAACTAAAACTAAATACTTAGCAGCTAAACAAAAGGCTTACCGCATTTTCGCTTGAATCTGTGGGTCCGGTTTCAGGAGAATAGGCAGGCTGCATGGGCGTTTTCAATGTTTTCCCCATGTGTAACGTGAAAACGAGACATTTTTTCTTTAGAGTGTCTTTCACAAACTCATCCTTCTCCTTAGACTCGTAATCAAACAAACCAAACCATCCCACTCGCTTCTGAACTATTCGATTCTTGATTCTCCCCAGAACAATGATAAATTAGCACCAGAACGAAGGAAGTTGAGTCTTCTGCCTTCAGTGGTAAACTGTGAAGATTCAAACTAAACTGAATTAAAAAAAACGATGTGCTGTTTAGTATGAGCAGTTTCTAGTCAGAACTAGAAAAGACTAGAAACTAATAAATTAGAAAGTTCTGAGCACTTTTGACACTAAAGATGCTTTTCATATCCTGGGAAATTGTTACAATGCTTTGCATTTTTGCTCAGAAATAGATTAAAATTATTGCTAGTAACTTACCACGAATGAACGATTCTTGTAATGAACGTCACCATAGAACGGTTTACGTTGCTTTGACAGGGTACCATTTTATTGCATTTTTTAATTTAGGAAGTCTATAGCTTAATCTTTCCATTTTCCACAATATATGCCACCTCGACTTTGTGGTAATAAGCAGAATTCACAGCATATACCATGGGCTCGAATCTGAATCCCGGATTATATACGGATATTTAAGATAATAGTGTATTTGAGGCATACTATACAGTAGAACCTCTGTTAACCGAAGCAGGTAATCAGTTTAAAAAAATTATTGGGATATGTAACACTAGAAAGCCAAAGCGAAAATTATTTGTTGCAATCATGTTTAGTGATGCTTGGTGGTATGTAGTTGATTGCTCGTGTCGCCATCTATTAATAGCGATCATAAGTGCAGCAGCGCATAAAACTCGTACGCCCTTGATTATATTAATGACCTTGGGATTTGATATTGGATCTGTTACGTGGCGGTCGTATACCGTACCACTGTCGCAAAAGAGCTGTCGTGCAGAAGATTCTGATATTTGAACTGCTTTGTAGTGCGAATGTTTGATTGCTCCTTGATATCGTTATACATTCTGTTATCAATGATCTTTTTGGCCTTTCTCATTTTGGATGGGTCCTTTAATGACTTTCAGCCTTTCATATTGTGCTATGTGTCATTATAAGGATGAAAAAAAAAAAAAGTATAAATAGGAAGAAAAATAAAATTCTTCCCCCCCTTTTTTAAGTCTGTAAAAGAATATAGCATTACAATTCACAATAAAATACAGGAAATGAGCCTTTAAAATGAAATACTGAGAAACGTGTATGAATTTGTGAAATGGGAAAAAAATTTAAATGTCTAGTAGGTTTTTATTGAACTAACTTTAATCGGTTGGTAAACTCTCTTGTTTTTAAGACTGATAAAAGAATATGGGTAGTAAATATAAAATCTATATACAAGGAAAGTGAAAAAAGAAATAATATTTATAAAATGGCAGAAGGTTTCTGCATTAAGCTTAATTTCTTTCTAGTAAGGAAAAGGAAAAAGTAAATAGAATAAGTATTGGAAAATCTATATAAATGCAAAAAAAATGCTGTGATGTGATAACATCATAGTCTTGAAACTATGTTTCCAAGCGATGCTAGAGATAGAATCCATATTTTCCCTTCTGCTTATACTGACTGCCACATTTTTTTTTTTTTTTTTTTTTTTTTAAGATAAGTAGAAAATCACCCTATTAGTATATCTTTATTCCTTTTTGTTTTAAAGAAAACAAATTTTCTCTTTTTTAATAACCTGTGAAAATTTCGAACTGTGTAGCCTTAGGCAATAACATTTTAAAATAATAAAAATTAAGGAGTTGAAAAAAAATCGATCGGTATTAAAAAAATTTAACAAAAGATCAGAAATTATGTTAAAAGTTCGTCTAAATTTCATGTAAAGGGTTTTTTTTTTTTTTTTTTTTTTTTTTTTTTCTGTTCTATTAGGTGGTACAAACAGTAAATTCTGAGATGTGAGAAAACTTTTTTTTAATATAAATTGAAAAAATTCTAAATCGAATTTGGAAAAAATTTCATCGCAAACTGTTAACCACATCGGCAAATACCATATGAATGAGCTAAATGAAAGGTTGAGAGGTTATAAAAACGTACCAATCGAGTCTCACTTCTGTTTTCAAGAATACCATTAGGCAAGTTTTAGAATGACGAAGAAAATCACTCGCGCCGTATATCTGGAGAACAATAAAATTTGAATTGATGAAGCTCTGCTGGTCAGTTACGTTGCGGATGACGACGAAACAGAAATGCACAATGTGATAATTGGCCATGCTAAAATGGGCGCTGAAGCCTAGATGAAAGTTCTTCGATATTTAGAGCAACGTTCTGCATTTTTCCCTCTGGATCTTTTAATCAAAAAATGCGGTGATTGTTCAGAGATTGATAGCTACCAGAAAAAGTGTAACAGACCTAAGTCTAACGAAAATGCCAATCAAAGTTGTACAATTTTCGCAAATCTTGATGGGGTTCCTTTGTTTCAGTTTCGTTCTTGAATACTTTTGTCACGAAATCAAATTTTGCTTGGATTATTTGTTTCAAAATATTTAATCTTCTAATAAAACAGTTAAAATATTAAAAACACACACTTTTTAGAATTTAATGTACATATTTTTACAAAATCTTGTTAATAGATAAATTGACATGATTTCAAATCTAGTGTATATTAACCGAATCTTCATGATTATGGTCTTAGTTACCTTGGATATTAGGTGAACACCTTGAAAAATAAAACGGGACAGATCTATAGCTCCCGTTCTCCTAGGCCAAGTTAAATTTTGTTAATCGGCCCCATAAAGCAGAAGATATAGAAATTTTTTTTTTTTTTTTTTTTTTTTGTTTGTGTGTGTGTGTGTGTGTGTGTGCAAATTTACCTACAGTTCTGTCAACTTATGAATTTCACACTTTGAAAGAGGTGCTCGAAATCGACATATTCTATTTCTCTGTTGATCAAAACAACTAGATAATGCCTGGGCAAACAGCCTTTTTGTGCTTTTCCTAAATTAAATAATCCATTACAATTCAATTTTCGCATGATATTACTTCATGTTGCACTACCAGGGCATTTATCATCCTCAACATCTGCAAATTACTTATTCTTTCACACTTTTACCCTGAAAGGTAAATTAAAACTGCGTCAAACTGAGTGATTTAAAAACATAATTCTTAATAAATCCCTTGCCTCAAATTTAAAGACTGAAAAAATATAGTTCTTAATAAATAGTACTTAAATCATATTTCTGCTGACACTCTAATTCACGGATTCCCAGTGGGTTCCACATTGACCTCCTGGCGATCGAGGGAATTTTAAAGGGGTCAGTGGTAATCAATGGGGACTATGGCCGAATATGTATCTCAAATTGATTGGCATGATAGGATTAAATGACATGTTGGTCCATTACCAATCATATCTTGTGGTTTTGGATTCAGTTTTCACCAGACATACTGAATTCTGCGGTTGTCGTCACTGCACGACCTATGCAGTTTTTTCAAACTTGTGTTTTCTTACGTTTTGGACTTTTGCCAGTTATTACGGATTTTCAGATTAATGCTATACAAGAGGCCTCTTTTTAATTAAGCGGAGCCTAGATGAATACGACCACTTATGGAATTTAATCGACGAAATTGCAGGGCAAATGCATCGAGATAACTTTGGAAATGTCGCTGTAAGATTGCAACGAACTGAAACGGATTTTATCAAAAGAATCATGTGAAAAATTCCTGTCAATTTCTTGATCGTAGCTAAATATTACTGATGGTCTTTCTCCTAGCCCCAAGACAGGAAAAAAAAAAAAAAAAAAAACAGGGATGCGGAATGCTTCGCAAACTGTAACAATGGAATGCGCTAGCCCAGTTAGTAAGAAGATGATCAAGACTCAATTTCCTGTTCAAAGTGAAAGCTGAATTTCACCGAGGAGGCTCGCTAAGCCCTCAGTACCCCAGGACAGCCCTCCAGCACATGAAATTTCAATATCTTCGGTATGCTAGAATCTAAAAACCACGGGACAAACAACAGCTCATGCTTGCTGATGAGATGAGACATGAAGAGACGCTCATAGAAGTTGATCCTAACCCTATGGTGTCGGATAAGAAAGAAAGATTGCCGCCAATTATCTGTACTCGGCCAGAAATCACTTGAAATGAACTGACGGGCTTTTAAAGGAGAATGAAATTCAGTTTAGTACATTCGGAGCCGAAGCGGACATTCCTTTGAAAGTTCTTATGCGGGGTTTTTCCGTGGATATCAAGCCCGAAGAAATCGATAATGAACTTTATGCTAAGGGCCTCCCAGTTGAAAAGTCAAAACAATTCTCCAGGGAAAAGGCAGATCATGAAATGATGCATCTTGTATTTTTCGTTACTGTGAGCAGAGTAGATGCAGGGAGAAAATTCTAAACCATGAAGACCTTATAAAAGTTTACTGTGAATATCAGAAGATACCATTCTGGTAAAAAGCTGATCAAATGTTTTAGATATCAAAGCTTTGTTCATGGCTAAACTTTCTGTAATAACAACCTAAAATGTTTCAAGTATTCAAGAGACTGCTTGACTTAGACCTGTAAGCTTCCGAAAGATGCAAATCCAACTTGTGTCAGCTGCAAACTGAATCATGTTTTATTGCTGACATGTTGTGAATTTTCCCCTAAAATTCGCAGAAAGAACTAATATGAAAAAAATCAACTCTAAAGCAGATGAAATTCTATCCTGGCATAGATTCCAGTTTCAGGAAATCTCTTCATGAAAGAACGCTCTCGAGTGCTTGTACGGAAAAGACTGTGACGGACTTGATTTCAGATATCAGCAATTTACTATCCAAAGTCCTGGAAATTGCTGAAAAAATGCAAAACAATGAAGTTGCCAATTAAGAATTTGAAGCTGGCTTTTCCTTATTAAAATTTTTGGAAGAAAATTAACTTTTCTTTCAGTCAACGAAAGTTGAAGCAAAGTGGACATCACGTGACGTCGACAAGCGACGCTCAGATTTTACCGCCGAATTTACCATAGAAATTTCTACGAGAAACAGAGTATCTCACGTTCATTTAAATGTGTCTTCATGTTTCTTCGTTTCGAGAAATGAAATCAGGTACCTCTCATCACAGGACCCATTGTAGATTATTGGGAAATACTATTTCGGTAATAGAACCCAATATAATTATAATCGTATCAAAGTATCGAAGGGGGCGATAGCCGAATATGCACGGGGAACTCATTGACATGTTTAAGAGTATCATTGAATTTATTTTTTGATTACAAAAATATTATTAATAAAACTGATATTTAATTGTGTATTATAAAGCTGTATCATGCAATAAAGAAGAAATTATATAAAATAAATACAACAAAAGATGTACACCAAAATTATTTACTATATTTCAAAAAACAGTATATTTTTTTAAATACATAATTTTTTATGTAATATGAGCAATATAAAAATCAAAACGCAAGAACACAAGAAAACATCATAAAACAAATCTGATGGGGATACCACATGATTTCCTTGTACGACTTATTAAATTATACTTTTTTTTTTCTGTACTTCATTTAAAATTATTTCTTAGAATTATTCTAACTTAATTTACCGATTTCTCAAGGCAAGTTAAAAACAGTAAAATTTCAAGTTAGATATCCCGGAAAAATGTTTTCGTACTCAAATCAAATGTCATATTATTTTATTTTTTCGTAACGAGCATAAAACTTTCCTAAATACAAATATATGGACCGGGAGACCGTATTAAAATGTATGTTTCGTTATTTTTTTAATTTGACAAGGACAAAATGTGAATATTTTCATGATTAAACACACTTCTGTAATTGTAAATATTTGACTACGACCAGCAATTGTGAAAACAAAGGCTGGGTAATGACTTTAAAGCC